TTTAGACAATTCTCATAATTTTTGCAAAAGGCTGTACCTTTCTATCAAAACAAACATAACAATTAAAAAAAGCATTATTAAACTAGTGTTTTTTTTCAGTGTCTTTTTCCTCTGTATGCTGCCAATGGATGTAAAGTTACAACTGCTGAAGGCATTGGAAAGTAAGAAATGAGATGGGAGTCATTATAACATGACATTGTTGATCATGAATTATATTATTATAATTCATATTCATGTTAATCAACATATTCAGTCTCAGTATGTTTGTCATCACTAGATGTGAACATTGTAAAGGTAATGGTCACAAGGCCATGCTCTTCCCTGTCATCTGACAATAGTATCATACAAATCATCTGCATTTATGATGTAGCATCATATTAGCCTTCAGTATGAGACATTCCKTTTGTAAATGTTTTAATTTCTTTGACAGCCGTAAAAATGGTTTCCATACCATCCAGAAGAGAGTTGCAGAGCACAATGGYAGCCAGTGTGGTTTTTGTACTCCAGGCATGGTGATGACTATGTACAGGTATTTACAGATCTGCTTGAGCTACTAGAATTATAACTAAGTCTTTGTTGTAATGACAGTAAATCGTGATGTTGCTTTTTTAGTCTCCTAAAAGAAAATCCAAAACCYACCAAACAGGAGATTGAAGACAGTTTTGATGGAAACATTTGTCGCTGTACAGGTATAAAAATTGTTGATGATGAGGATGGGCGTGGGTGCCCTGAAGCCGCCCGTAAGCACGCACGCAAGTCCTAGGCAACTAGGCAGTAACCATGGTAACCATTCAGTAGCAAATAATTACACAGAGCGCAACCAGAGCAAAAGTTAGCACATGTACCGAGCAAGTAACCTGAGTATCAGGCTCTCGGGGGGGGGGGGGGGGAAACGGAAGGAGAAGGAAAAAGGGAGAGGCCTTCCTTTTTCCCACCCTCTCCTCCCCAGGCCCCCTCGAAGGCCTGATACTCAGGTTACCGAGCAAGCCCCTGAATAGATCGGGGCACCACCGCACACACAAGACCGCTGGTCAACAGTACTCAAGGGCACACACACTAACACCACAGGAGTCCCGAGAGCCAGCGCTAATATTGCCTCGAGTTTAACCTTGCCTTAAATTCCATTTACCCACATATAAAAAAACAAGTTATAATAGAAATTGSTTTCTACAGTTTGGTATTTTGTGGTATATATATCATGGATATCATGCCCTTGCTTTTTCCCTTCAGGTTATCGTCCTATTCTTGATGCTATGAAGACTTTTGCTGCTGATGCTCAACCAATAGACATTGAGGTGAATGTTGGACTCTAWATGTTCCAGCTATGTATTGCTTCAGATGTTACWTACACCATTGCATTGTTTTGTGTGGCTGTATAGCATCTTTTACTTGCCKTTTTGCTACTTGTTGATAATCATATTTTGTAACATCATTACAGGAGCTAAGCAATTGTGTCGGCAAATGTGATGACT